AGGGAAAATCTGATTTCAAATATATATATATGTATGTATGTATGTATGTGTATATATATATATATATATATATATATATATATATATATATATATATATATATATATATATATATATAAACCTTGGAGCTTACCTTCTTTTACTTGACTTAGCATTATGGTAATAATTCCTAATTAACATGTCAACAGTTGCAGTGAGTGTCCTGGCTTATTTGTCCATAACAAATGAATAAAATAAGGTGCTAGTAATTAAAATTAGGGGGAAATGAACTGTTGTGCTAACCACAATTCAAAAAGTAATTAAAGCAAATCATGATCTATATACTCTATGCAAACTAAAGAAATTATAACATGGTATTTATATCCATGCATGTCAAACCAACCCACACCAGATTTTATTTATTAATAGATTTATAACATACCTTTATTTTCTACAATTCTAGTGGGTATACATAAGGCTCCTGCCCCCTCCTTTCACCCAAAGCAATAACAGCCCTGTGAAGTAGTTTTGCTGAGAAAGATTGACCTGCTCAAATTCACCCAGCTGGCTTCTGAGCCTAAGGCTGGACTAGAACTCCCAATTTCCTTTTTTCTAGTTCAGCACCTTAATCACAGCACCATGTTGGTTTCTGTCTTTCAGTACTTCTTCAAAAGGTTTCAGTCACCAATCTAGAACTCCAAGGACAAGCCAGTGCAAATCATAAAGTGATGAACTATTTCAATCTGGTGATGAAATTCCTCTAGAAGTCCATCTCTTTACCTATAATATTACAAAAACAAAGCTCAATAAAAAAAGTATCAGCATTAACCAAAAATGCTGAAAAGCACCTGAATACAGAGGTTTTCACAAAATAATATTGTCTCAAGTCTGATGAGTTCTAGAACTCCACTGTTCCTAACCTGGTCTGCTCCAAATACATTGGATATGAGTTCTATCACTCCCAATCCAGGCTGTCAACTTGACCTAGGAGTGAGTCTTACCATTTCTGTTTCTTAAAAAAAAAAAAAAAGGTTAAGAGAAGCTGAGCAGAGCAGAGCAGAATTCTCATATTTTCTCAAAACACAGCAGTAGATTTTTGTTCATGTTCAAATCTTGTTCTGCAGTACATCTTCCTTCCTACTTTATGTCAGAAGTACACGGCATGCCCTGATGATGCCCTTGGGCTCAGCATGGCCCCTGAAGGCATTAAGGGCAACTTCCAGGATTCCTTTAGAAACAGGCACAAAAGCATCATTTTTGTTGGGGTAGTACAGTAATTCATCATATTGATCTCATGTAAACAATGTTACATTTTAATTAAATGTAAAATGATTCAGAGAATTTTAATTTTTTATCCTAGCTCCACCTGTTCTTCAGAGTGTGGTACTCGGACATAAAAAATGGTTCTCAAGCAAGAGATGTTCTTGGGAGGGAGTGGCTCAAAAAAGTCAAATTGGCAGGTATAATCATGCCATCAAAGCCCCATCCTTGTAAAATGTGGATCCTTGGCTTGGGTCAGAAAAAAAAAAGTGCACATTTCTTTGTACTGCCAATACCTTACCATTAAATGGTATAGTGTTAGCTCTTCAAGGAAGTCCAGACAAGGAGAACGCTCAAAAGTACTAGCTCTACATTACATTACATTAACAAAAATATTTCTCCCTGCCTTTCCTTTTGCTTTCTGGAAAGCTAGGGTGGGTCCCTTCTGAAATGCTTCCCATGCCCTCCATCTTTTAGATCAGGGGTGTCAAACACAAGGCCCACAATCTGGTCAGATCCGGCCCATGGGTCCATCCTGGAAAATGTAAGGGGCCGGCCCACATTGCTTTGGCCCGGTCTACCCAATGTGACGAGGAAACATGCCAACAGTTTGGGGAATGGTGTCAAGCTGGCCACGCCCACCCAGTTGGCTGCACCCAGTGAGTGACACCAAGTTGGCCACACCCATCCAGTTGGCCACACCCACCCAGTCGGCCATGCCTCATGCCCTCCCAAGGTCAACCACAGCCCTGATGTGGCCCTCAATGAAAATTGAGTTTGTCACCCCTGTTTTAGATGCTGGTTGTCCGGTCTGCAGCTCTCCCTTCTGTCTTCCAGGGTCATTCCCACAATCCATTACATGCATCGCACTGTGGTGGTTCCAATGTATACCAGACCACCATTTTTTTTCTTTATTTGCTTTAAACAAAGCATTAATTTCATTATTTCTACCCTTGTTTCACAAGGACTGAGGCATCATACCCAAATTCAAGAAATAACAGCCATATCATTATACCTATGGACATTTTTGTCAATCGTGTTTCCCAAAGAAGGGAATCAAAAAAAGCCTCATGGGGATCAAGAATGCTCAGTGGAATCTGGAAGCTTCTGAATGTTGAGTTAATCTGCTTCCACCCTTCCAGAACTGGACTATGTAGAACCATGAAGAGACTCTACAAATACATCCATAGACTTATGCAGTGACCATTGTTTGCTTAACCATACTTTATTATACAAACTGAAGCTGTTCAATCCATACATTACTAAGTCATGATAAATGAAGCACTGACTTTCAGACTGATATGCAAATCCAGTTTCTGGACAGCATAGCTGTTAGATCGGGCAAGTGAGGAGACAGGAGTCAGGTCGAAGTGAACAACAACTCTTTAATATACAGTGAGAATCCAGCAAATGTACAGTAGAGCAACTCTCCTTATATAGCTTCTTGCCCTGGGTGCTAGCCAATAATCATCAAGCTTTTTCCAGCTTAATTTTCCCTCCAAAATTAGATACATAACAATACCAACTTCAACATTCGGAAGAATGCAAAACTGAAAAGAAATTTAGAGTAAAGTATCAACGTTTGCATTTCTATTTTGACACTTGACAATGGAATTTGTAAATCAACTGGCTCTTTTCCAAATACCCAAAGGTACATTTCCTGATTGATGAAATAAACTAATGTTAGTACAACATGCCTAATCCAATTGCATGTCAGCTGTCAAATGCTTTTTAAGTCTGGCTGCTATTGGAGTCATACAGTCATTCAATGAAGAATGTAACTAGAAAATAATTGGATGTAAAATGATATCAAATATTCATTGCTAACACACTGCATGGTTTTCGAGGGCATTTGCCCGCAAGGATTTCAGAGGAGAATTGGGGAGGGAGTTTATTTGTTTGAGATCTGAGCCTTAGGATGAAAGAAATACACCTTCATGTAAATTTCACCTAGGTCTCCAGCAATTGCAATACCACAGACTGTCTAAAAATGTGTGAAAATATGAATTATGGAAGAATGTGTGCCACATTTATATCTGTCACATTCAAATGAATAAGTTCTATTCATCATAACTCATCTTTTTAAATATTAGGCGAGCATTCTAATGGGTAATTATAAACATATGTCATCTGGACCTTTTAAAGGAAACATGTTAACCGCCTCTAGATTAAACCGCAACATCACAATTAATGAAACAATGCTATCTGTATTTGCATATGTAAATGAGACTAGACATAGGCTTCACAGTTGATGGGCAAAAGATTATGATAATGCACTGTCATCTGAATTAATGACTGGCTAACCCCACTTGAAAAGGTCAAAATGCCTCTCCATACGCTTATTACTAAAACATTCTCATTCACCAAAAAGAAGCTGCTTGATAAATTGCCTGCCTTAATGAGAAGGTGAAAATATAAACTTCCTTTCATTTTGCTTTCATATTTGATCACCGTGAAACAAATCTTTCCTCTGCTCAGAAAGAACAAATTCTTAGGGATAATTTCAAATATTACATGAAATTTAAAATCACATACATGGAACTGTGCTTCAATTAAATATTGAGGCACAGTTCCAAGTGTAGTCTGGGGCACATTTAGAAATTAAAGCATGTGGTTAAAACATCCCTCCCAGAAATTTGGTAGAGGAAGCAGCAAGGATGGAGCTGATTCTGGAATGACAGTCTTACTGGACCCTGATCTGCAGGATTTAGGCTTTAAAAAAAAAACAGATATGGAGGTTTGCAAACTGACATTTGGTTTGGGGTGAAGGATCACATGAGAAAGATGAGCTAGTTATGGTTTTCAAGCCTGTGAAACACCAAGACCAGGGGTGGGCTGCTGGGGGTTCAGGAGGACCTCTAGCTAAGATTCTGTGAAGTTCGGAAAACCCCCAAATCCCACTCCTGGCTGGCTCGGGGAGGGTGAAAACGGGCCTAACATTTCCAGCCTCCAGAGGGCCTCCAGAGCCTGGAAGGCCATTTTCACCCTCCCGGAGGCTCAAGAAAAGCCTCCAGAGCCCGGGGAGGGCAAAAACACCCCCCCATGGTAGAGGAGGCCAACTAGCCATGACCACCATGACCACCCAGCAACTGGGCAGAGAACCACTTGCTACAATTTTGGAAACCCACCCCTGACCAAAACTAATTCCTTGTGGCCTGATTTCAAATGGCACCTTCGGTTCAATTCTGTATCAGCAGCAACCTGGGATGTCAGAAGTATTTGGGGTGGGAGGGGGTATCAGGAAGGGAAACATAGGGAAGTCCCAAAAGAAGAGGTAATATAGCATTGCCCATTTTAAGGCAGAGGTACCTTCACAAGAGATCAAAAAAGTCAAAATGATGGTGGTAGTCATGGCATTGATCTAGATACAAAAGAGGAGGCTTCAGTTGTACAGTTCTGACTACCCTCTTCACTCTTTTGATGGCTATAAAGATCTCTACTCTAGCCCATCCCTTATTTCAGCTTTACCCACCCTGATATGCAGCACAGGACCTGACCCTTCATCTAAATCTGGATTTAAATTTTTAAAAAGGCCACTCCTGGGCTCAGGTTATATTCTGTGTACCAAAGCCTACCTTCACAAGAAGTCCATCTGAATCAAGGTGAATATGCGTTCGCCACTAATTACTTTACTTTGTGTCATCCCATTTTTTAGTTCAATCCCCATAAGACCTAACGACAGTTCCAACAACAAGACTCCAATGCAATGAAATTCAACAATGACATCAACCCATATAAAGTTGTTCTTCGCAACTGACTGGTGGATGTGTCCTTTCATTGTTGCCATTCCCGTTGGTTTTATATCAAGGTGTCAATTGCTATGTGCAGGTCAGTGTTTATTCCCCATCTGTTGTAGTTATCTCATCCAATGCGCTGAACCCTGTGCTGTCCCTTATCTTATTAAATGTGGTATAAACACCTTTGATGAAATGAAACGGAGAGCTGCTGCAGAGAAGTGAGTGCCTCTTTTTCCCTACAGGAGCTGTCTACATTCAGAAGATCTGATTTGCTGCCCTTCAGTGACAGCTGCTAAAGTAGTTTGTATAACTCCCAGTCTGGAAGAGTCATTGAACCCTCCAATATAATCAGAGACTGATTAATTGACCCAGACAGAAAACCATTGAAACTGTTGCTTGTTCAAAAAAAGTTCTGGCTATTGCATCTCCCTCACAGGATTGAGGAAGAGAAGACCAAGCTCAAGCATACACAGCAATCCAACCTGGCTACATGAATGGGGAAAGCCAGGCACAGTGAAGCAGCTAATTCAAGTAGCACAGGAGTCCCCAACCCCTGGGCCGTGGCCCACTACCAGGCCTTGAGCCCTTCAGAACTGGGCTGCAGAAGTGGCAGGCAATCATGCATGCTCACATCCCCAGTTGCACAAGCGGCGGACAAGCACCCGTGTGCTCCATTTGTGTGAGCAGTGGGCATGCATGCACTTATCCGCCACAGGAAACCATTCACAGGAAACCATCCACAAAGCTGGAAAGGTTGGGGAACTCTGAAGTAGTAGGTGCTTGTGAAAACATAGTAGTCTGGCTTAATCCTGGAAAACAGAATGCTATTCAATTTAAGTACTTTAATGCATGGAGCTGGTGAGCTCAAGGATGAATTTTTGATGAATCCAAATTCTTCAGAGTTTTGTTTTGTTTTGTTTTTTGTCTCTCCTTAGCTTACTTTGTAGAACACAAGAGTGGCAAGCAAAGAAATCAACAGTTAACAACCAACATCTCCAGGTTAGATTGGGGAACACTTTTGTCTGAGGGTTCCTTGGTACTCACTGAGTTTGGCTGTTTTCTTACAGACATTTCATTACCAAAATAGGTAACATCTAGTCCCTACTAGCACTGATGATGTTACCTAGTTACCAAGAAAACAACTAAGCTCAGAGAGCACCAAGGACCCCTCATTTCAACTCAGTACTACAAATATTCTCTTTCATTGGTATTCTTGTCTGAAACCATGGGAAACTACTGCTAGTCGTTGTAACCTAATCTTCCCAAACCCTGGTCCATTCCTTATTTGCAGGCTTCAACTCCCAGAGTATTCAGCAATGTATGCTGGCTGGGGAATTCCAGGAGATGAAGTCCACATATTGGGAGATACACAGACCAAAGAAAGCTAACACAGACAAAATTAGTAGCTTGATCAGTGGTCAAGCTTAGCAGTTACAGCTATCCAGTTTGTGCCCAGATGTCAATCCAATGTCAATCATTGGGGGCCAGTCAGATGAGATCTTCACTCATGATTCTGGCATTCTCAGACCATCATCATTCATTCGCAAAGGCGTTCTTTTCTGTAACTGAAATGTATGAAGTGAAAAAAGGACATATTTAAGAAGTATGTCTTAACTATTTTGAATCCATGAGATAATATGCTGCTTCTCATGGGTGCAGGAAAGGGGAGGGGACAGATTTCTTCCAAGTTGAAACAAGCTCTGGTGTGTAATTCAAGGTCAGTGTGGGTGAGAATTTTCAAATCTCCCAGTGACGAGAGCTTCTTTCCATTCATTCAGTTGCAGAGTTTTATGGGCCTCTTGCATTTAGGCCATTGCCTTGCTATAATAAAGAAGGGAGCTGATCTGCTGGATTTTCAGCTTCCAGCCTAGCCAACATGAACATGATAGTCTCTCAGATTGTTTAGAAATTTGAGGGTTCAATCTGAATAGATCTAGTGGGCTTTCACCATACTTTATATGATTACCTGTCAGACAAAAAGTAATGCAATCACAGAATCACAGTATCTGGTGGTGATGATGAAGTGACACAGAACACATCATTTCATTTAGAAAATATATATATATATATAAGTGAATTCAACATATGTAATTTCCAAGGAAGTAGTTCTGTCATGGAGACAGATTAAGTGCAGAAAAGAATATTGGCAAGAAAACGACAACAAACTTGTCAAAAATATAATGTGTTGGGTGTCTTGTTCTGGGTTACTCTACAGTGGTTTTGAAGCAAGTAAAAGAACCCCCAAAAGTGCCAAAATTATCAATGTTACATTTCTAAGACAGCCTATCTCCAGAAGCTGACAGAAAACTATACAAAAGAATGATCAGAAATAGTGCATACTGAGGTTTATTTGTTTGTTCAGTTAGTTATTTGGTCAGTTGGTTGGTTGAGGTTGTTTGCCTGCCTGCTTGTCTGAACGAAATAACAGAGATGGAAGGGACCTTGGAGATTTTTTTAGTCCAACCCCCTTTTCAAGCTGGAGACCCTATACTTTTTCAGACAAAAGGTTGCCCAATCTCTTCTTTAAAACCTCCAATTATGTGGCACCTACAGCTTCTGGGAACAAGCCGTTCCACTGATTAATTGCTATAACTGTCAGGAAATTTCTCCTTATTTCTAAGTTCTCTCCTTGATTAGTTTCCATCCATTATTTCCTGTTCTACCTTCAGCTGCTTTGGATAATGGGTTGACACCCCCCTTCTTTGTATCAACCCCTTAGATATTAGAACACTGCTATCATGTCACCCCAGTCCTTTTCATTAAACTAGACATATCCAATTCCTGCAACAATACTTTGTATGTTTTAGTTGCCTAATCTTTGCAATCTTCTAAGCAATATTTGTTGCTCTTCTCTGCACCCTTTCTAGAGCTTCAACATCTTTTTTATATCATGGCAACCAAAACTGGGTGCAATGTTCCAAGTGCAGTCTTACCAAGGCATTATAAAAAGGTACTAGCACTTCACATTATCTTGATTCTCTCTCTCTGTTAATACAGCCTAGCACTGGGTTGGCTTTTTTTGGCAGCTGCAGCACATTGCTGAGTCATATTTAAGTGATTGTCCACTAGAACTCCAAGATCCCTCTCACAGTTATTACTATTGATCCAGGTACCACCTTTTCTTGTCTAGATGTAGAACCTTACTTTTTTCTCCATTAAATTTCATTTTATTACATAGTTCCCAGCATACAAGTCTCTTGGGATCCTTCTGTATCTTGAGCTCATTTTATAGAGTGTTGGCTATTCCCACTAGCTTGGTGTCATCTTAAATCTGATTAGTTCCTCCTGTTTCAATATTGTTTGAATATTTTGTTTAGTAGACTGTGAGAATGCCACAGATATATAATACAGCTTCATTCCAACAAAGAATGTAACAAAATATTCCGTGCTATTTTGTTTAGTAACCTAGTAAGTAAACAATGGCCTGTATGAGTTCTCTATTCTATGGATTTACCATTGGCTTGAAAATTGAATTTAGAGTTTAATAATGGTTCATAATCAAACTTGAGTGAGATACCAAGTGTGCTGTAGTAGGGTTCAGTTTTGAGACCATTACTGTTCAAGATTTTTATTAATGACTTTGATTAAGCTGATTAGATTTGTATGCGGTACAATATTAGATTTCCTTAATGTACAAAACAGCATGGGATCACTAGAAGATAAGAATACATTTTAAAATCTTAGTATTACAGTTTACAGAAGCTGAAAATGAAATTTAACAACCAAATATCAAATTCCTCGCTACAAGGGGAAAAAACCCTCCCAAATCATAGGATGGGGAATGAGTGCCTTTGAAAATAATTTTAGAATTGTCATTGATCATAGTGTAAATATAAGTCAGCAGTTTGATATGACTGCTAAAAGGTCAAATGTATTTCTGAGCTGCACAGAAGCACCCATTGGTTAGCTTTGTAAGTGCTTCTGACATGAATACAGACGGACAGAAATGTAGTTTCCAAATCATGGGAAATAATAATTTTGTTATACTTTCTGCTGGACATGTTCCATATGAAGCACCATGTCCTTCATGGTCCGTTTCTTATTTTCCAAAAAGACAGATCAGAAGAGGTGCAGAAAAGTAGAAATGCAATCTTATGAAGAAAAACTGAGAAAATTGGATCTGTTTAATCTCAAGGAAAGATGAGTGATAGGTATATGGTAGCACTTTCAAGAACCTGAATGATTGTCACATACTGTAGAAAAAAGGCAATAGTAAACACATGCTTTGTTTTTAATTCAATTTTTTGGGGATTGATTTATTTTCAATAGCCTAAACTCAACGTAGCTTGACTGTTTAACTTTCTTATTTGGGCGGCGGGGTGGAGAGAGAGACACCTTAGAACACATCTCTTGCTTTGAAGACCAGGGCCATAAGAATAATTGGGAGACAGTCCATTCTGACAGCAACTAGCTAGACAACATGCAGAAAGCGTGAGAAAGGAATATCTTCAAATAGAAAACAACAACAAAAAAAGAAAATCTATTTATAAAAAGGCATTGTGATAAGAACACACTCTCTTGCAAAAATTACTTATTTCATAATTAGAATCTTTCAATTAGAAATGTTCTCAAGTTCAAAGCAGCAAAAAACTAAACTTTTTTTGATCTTTTAAGATGATCCACCTAGGATAGTGTTCGAAACGGGAGTGCATGTGCACTGGGGGGGAGCGGCGGAAATCGGAAGAGCAGCTCCCCAGCATGCATGCACGGTAGCGCCGGAAACTGGAAGAGCTGTTCCCTGGCATGCATACACATGCCAGGAAGCTGAGCTTCTGGTTTCCGGATGTGCATGAGTGCCGGTCACCTGGTCTTCCAGTTTCTGGCACGCATGCGCACAACGACCAGCTGGCCGGCAGGCATGTGCACACCAGAACCCGAAAGAGCAATGGGCGACAGCTGGTGTGCCCAGAGAGATGGCTGCTACTTCCAACATGCGTGTCATAGGTTCGGCATCACAGACCTAGGATATCCATCCAACACATTACAGGTCAGGATTTTTAATTTTTCTCATCAATATTCTTAAATGGAAGCATTTTGGAGTGAGTTAATATTTTGGTATAGATGCTGGAGAAGCCAACCAACCAGCTGACCAAACCAGGAGCAACATGAGTAAGCCAACTACTTATAATAACTTTTGTATAAATAAATAGAACACAATGATTATAACATTACAGATTTGCCTCTAACAAACTATCTAAATTCATTCTGAAAAGCTCTAATCAGAGCACAAAGCATACCTGCACCTACACCAAGAACTAAGTCAGCAAAAATTAAAGAGGGGAATAATACAGGACTCTTGAAGAGGAGAGAATTCCAAAACTACCAAGCAATTCCAGGTAGAGTCTTCAATTTGGCCCTGTTGAAATTCATACTGATAACTTATCAAAACATAAGATCATGTCTAGAATGCAGCCCACTAAAACAGGTTAACAAGTACATGGGTATGGTAGTATGATTTAGGTTTATTGAACTATGAGAAATTTTTATTTGTTTGGCATTTGTTTGCAAGCTTTTAAATCTTTTACTCTTTTTTATTTATATTGCTGGTATATACTTATAAAGGATATGTTTATTGATTTTATTATGTTGATCTACAGCTATAATAAATTTAAACCAACGAACTGTTTAACAAAATAACCCAAACCATTGTAAAATGCACTCTGCAATTTAATAACCAACAAAGCCCTAGAGTATGAACAGAGTACAAGTATACATCCTAAGTTCAACAAACAATGTCATATTTTTAATTTTGCATTCACACAGTCTCAATCATAGCAGCTTTCTCCAAGCAAAGTATTTAAAAAAAAACTCTGAACTCCCGCCTGACAATCGCTAAGGGATAGTTGAATTTGGATTCTGGCATCAAGGAGGGTTTAGACTTGATAGCCTAAAGAACCCCATTCATTTCTAAAATTCCATGATTATTTAGTTTAACCAGTGGTGGGATTCAGGGATTCAGCCGGTTCTGTCCAGTTTGGGTGAACCAGTAGCAGCGACTGTGGTAGGCTCTGCCCACCCGCCCAGATGTAATGCCATCCTATTTCACCATGTTTTGGAGGCCGCGTGCATGCACAGAAGGCATGTGCGCGAGCAAGGAGTATGCACAGAAGGCTGAGTATATGTAGAAGGTGGCACGTGCACTCTCATTTGTGAACTAGTAGGGAAAGTAAGTGAATTCCACCTCTGAATTTAACTGACATTAAACCTCAAGCATTTAAAAATTTCAACTGGGGAGGTCCAGGAAGAAAGCCTTCTCTGCCATTATCTCTGGTAATCTACTCCCCTTTGGAACATACTCCTGTCAGAGGTGAGGTGAGACCACATTCTCCTGGCCTTCCAAATATATCTAAAGATCTCATTCTGCCATCTTTCTTGGAGCTCACAGAGGACCATGCAGCCATGGAGCTGGTTAGCACTCTGAAGCCCCTTCCCTGCCTTTTTAATTCTGAATTTTAAGTATTTTATTCTTTTTTAAATTGTTTTCAGTATAATATCTATATATAGCTTTTATGTTTTTATGTGTATTTGTATATCACCCCGAGGGAGATGGACAATCTCTAAATATCATAAACTAATTAAATACATTCTTTCATATTTTTCAGATTGCTGAACGGAGGAGGAGGAGAAGGAGTTCAGGCATCAGGTTTTAATGATAGAAAATAGTCTTCATTCAAGGTTATTATATTTTATTTTATTAAGTTTTTTTTTTTTATTTTACCCTGAATTTCTCATAGTAGCCTATCAGGTTCTCATGGAACCAATGGTGAAATCCAAAATTTTTTACTACTGGTTGTGGCTTGGTGGGCATGGTGTGGCTTGGTGGGTGTGGCTTGGTAGGCATGGCAGGGGAAGGATACTGCAAAATCTCCATTCCCTCCCCACTCCTGGGGGAAGGATATTGCAAAATTTCCATTCCCACCCCACTCTGGGGCCAGCCAGAGGTGGTATTTGCCAGTTCTCCGAACTACTCAAAATTTCCGCTACTGGTTCTCCAAACTGCTCAAAATTTCTGCTACCAGTTCTACAGAACCTATCAATACCTGCTGGATTTCACCCCTGCATAGAACCCCACACAATATATATAGTGCAGAAAAGGAGATAGCATTAAGAAGAAAGCTATTTATAAACTTTTATCAAATGAAAATAAATAGATTTTAAAAGGTACAATAGGGATCTTTTCCAAAATGGATATCTAGATTTCTTCTGCTTTGCATGGTTTCAAACTATGAATCAGTCCCAAAACTAAAAATTAAAAAAATATTACAAAATTATGCTAGTGCCTGCTTCATCTTTCATAGATTTTGGTTTTAGTCCAAGATAGAAAGACACTCTTCATCCACAATAATACACTAAAGGTAAATAGTGTGTTTCTCATATCCTAGAGGATATACCTCCCAAAGTATGCCTTCGTTAGAAACTCTAAACACAGTTAGCTAATAGCTTAGCTAAAACAAAATGACACTTTGAAGGGTTTTTTAAAAACTAATGCAAATGTTATGTTAGTTGAGGCTCTAAAAGAGAAATGGATTTAGACAACAAAAAAATATCACAGGATGATGTGTGAAACCCAAATCCAAAATTTAACATGTTTCTTTCTCCAGGAGGAGGAAGCGGCAACAGAATTTAAATCAAGTGTGAGAATGTTGTTTCTAACTGTGAAATTATCAGGACGCTCTAAGCATTCATATAATAGAATTGCCTCTGTGATCTGGGCTTCATTACCATTCCATCCTGTTGGTTCATTCATGGGAAATGTGAAGAATGAGGTCCCTTCAGAGCAGGCCACCCCTTGGATCATGAGATTAATGATCCGCTATGTAGATCACACTGTTAACAAACAAGGAGAAGCCACATAAATCAGCTCCTGGCTACTCTTTAAAAATGTCCCAGTTCAGAAGGAATTAAAAAGTCTCTATCCTGTGAACACAACTGTGATTCACTGTCACAGTGAAAGAAATCCTATAGGCAAGAATGTGAGTAGAATCAGCAAGTCTTGTAGACTCTTTTAATCACTTTTAAAAAAATATATAAAATGTAATTACTCATGTACTTTACAAGGATTTCTATGTGTCCCTTCCATAAGAAATATCAGATATATAGTTAATTGAATCGCATATGCTTTCCATGCTTACATAATATAGCCTGTCATGATACTGTACATAGTATATGCGCCTGTATTTTAGCAAAGATCAAAGATATCATACATTTTATCTGCCTGTGACAGATATAGGGCAACCATAGTCATAAAGCAGAGCTAGTTTGAAATTTTCATTCAATCTCAATACTATCATTGCGAATGTCTATGGAGATTCTCAGACATCCAGGTCATGGTTGTCCCAAAGGTGCTTTTTCAAGAGGCAACTGGATTTTCTTTGTTTTTTCTTGAAGATGTTTTTCTTCTCAGACATTTTTCTTCTGAACTGAAGAAGCTTTTGAGATGAGAAGAAAAATGTCTTCAAGGAAAAACAAAGAAAGTCCAGTTGTCTCTTGAAAAAAAGCACCTTTGGGACTATCATTGCCATTTAGAAGAATGAGGTCGTATTCCTCACATAAAAGCCAATCTTTGTTTACAGATTCTACTGCCTTTTGTTATTTGTTCCTGTCATTTAGCAGCTTCAAAACACCATGTGGTATGTCAGAAATATCAAAGATTTTATTTCTTTTCTTGTTGCTTGCTTCCCATTCTTCAAGATTTCAATCAAGATGATCATCTTTTCTAGCACCAGGAAGGGAAGGGAAAGCATGCATCATTGTGGAATCTTAACTATCACTAATGGATCTGAGTGCTGATAATTATGTTACCAACAGCAGTTAGAACTTTGATTTAAGGCACCAAGAATCCCCAGCAAATAAATGCAAGTACAGTAAACTCACTTATTTTTGGGATTACATTTATCTAGCAAATAGACTTTCTCTAGTCATCAGTTCTATTTAACATTTTGATGGAAACAATGAAGCAATCATTGAATAAACAGAGAGCTGACCAGTTTAACCCTGCCATATTTTGTAAAATTTCCTGAATAACCCAAGCATGCTGCATTTGGTATAAATATTGTGCCCCAGAGAAGAGAGTGATCTTGGAGGGAACATTTATCATCAAGAAAATAGCAACTACCATTTTAACACATTTACTACATGCAGAAGGATCTGAAATAATTCTTAATGATGTAGTGAACCTAGCAAGTTCGCTAACATCAAAGCCCCCAATCTCAGTCTGGGGAGTTCATTAAAAGGGAGCTCAAAAGGTTCCTATATCTTCTCCCCCAGGCCACAAACTTAATACAAGTCTGGGAAATTATTATTCATCATTTTTCTGCCTTCAGGTATTCACCAAGAACTAGTCCCTTACCCAGATTTGTTGCTGTGATTGTTCCCATGACTGAGCCCAAATCAGCCAATGAACCTCTGTGGTTGATGATGGTTTTCAACCTAGGCCTCTCCTTCCACACCAGAGGTGGGTTTCAGCAGGTTCTGACCAGTTCTGGAGAACCGGTAGTGGTTTTGAGTATTTCAGAAAACCGGTAGTAAAAATTCTGACTGGCCCCACCCCTATCTATTCTATGCCTCCCAAATCCCAGCTGATTGGGAGGAAATGGGGATTTTGCAGTAACCTTCCCCTGCCACGCCCACAAAGCCACACCCACAAAGCCATGCCACGTCCACAGAACCAGTAGTAAAAAAATTTGAAAGCCACCACTGTTCTACACTTACTTCAACACTAGCCTCACTGGCTCTCCTTTTACTGGCATTTTTAACCATTAACCACCAGGATGCCTTGAAACGTGTGAGTTTTCAGGGCTCAATTTGGTGAGGATGCAGCAAATGGAGAAACTATATCTTGCTTTTTCTCAAACCATTCCTTGGTTTGAGTTTAAGCTGACTAAGTACTCACTTTTTGGTGACCAGCCACAAATGTCTTTTAAAAAACAAAAGATCCAGAACCAAATATGATACCTTTCCTAGTTCAAATGTTGCCATTTGAAAACACCATTTTTTTTAATATGCAGTGGATGTACCACCTTGACATCAGCACCACACCTCCATAAAAATGAGGGCTCCTGGCTATTTTGGAAAGTTAAGATTAACTTTGCTTCAGTGAAAACAGTTTTGTGGCATTTCCCCTAGAGCTGCAGAATGAGAAACTTTCATTAGTGGGAACTCCTTCTTCATCCTTCCTCTAAAATATTCTCTCTTGTCAGAAACCAAGGCATTCTCCCAAAAAAAGTTGGGGAAGCCAAGATGCCCCAATGTCTTGCTTTCTGGTGACAGGGAGAAATTCAGACCATCTCCCATGCTTCCCTAAGTGGAGTGTCTTGCCACTCCCATCCTTCAACAGTGGCTAAGTACATAGTTTCTCCTCTCCAAATCAAAACCCAACATGGCAAAATTAAGAGTATGGATGGGAGTGGAATAGCTACCTCTGTTGTTGATGTTTTCCATTGATTCCATCTTGGATGAAGCAAGGAGAGCAACAATGTGGAATGTTGCAAACCTAATAACATTTGGAGCGGGGGAGTCTGTATCCTGTAAGGATAAAAAACAATCTCACTTTTTTTTTTGAAAACTTAGTATAGTAGATGCTATTGATTCCTAAGCAGGTATTTTTCTTTTCTATTAATGGATCTTTCTTGTTCATCATATGGCTCAGGCTTTCTCCTCTATTGTCTGTGGGTTTACAAATTGTCATTAGTACCTATTGATTTCAACTCTTCTTCTTTAGATTTCATTCATTGATAGCTCTCTGGCTGACAGTGTCTTTGAAACAATTATTCCATTATAATCAAATAAAAGAAAAATCTAATAGAAACTGAATTAGTGCAAATTGTGAGGAATGCAAATTCCTCTTCCTAGTGGGGAATTAGAACTAAGTGATGCCCACACAAGAATTTTTCTTGGTTACAATTTGACACAATTACAACAGACAAAGAAGTTGGATGATTTGGTCTGAGCCAGAATGGGACAACTCGCTGTGGCCAACTCATCATGGCCAATTCTAACTTGCCATGGCCAACTTGCCATGGCCAATTCACTGCAGGAAAACTCACCACAGCCAACTTGCCACAGGACACCTCACTGCAGAACAGTGAGCAAATACAAAAGTTAAATTAATGTCAATGGAACCACGTCCAATAATAATAAAATAAAGTAAATCCAGAAATACAAGAGTTACAATAATTTTGATGAAAATGTGGTCACCAATAATAGCAATAGCACTTAGACTTATATACTGCTTCACAGTGCTTTCCAGTCCGCTCTAAATGGTTTACAGAGTCAGTATATTGCCCCCAACCATCTGGATCCTCATTTTACCAACCTCGGAAGGATGGAAGACTGAGTCAATTTTGAGCCAATGAGATTCGAACTGCCATACTGCTGGCAGCCAACAGTCAGCAGAATTAGCCTGCAGTATACTACATTCTATTGCCTGCACCACCACAACTCTTAATAAAGGTAACGGAATGAAACAATTAATACAGCACTGAATTGTCCTGCATCAAGTTGACTGTGGCGAGTTAGCCATGGTGAGTTGGCCATGGCAAGTTGTCCTAGACCAGGGGTGTCAAACTCACATTGTCACAGTGGTGTCACATGATGTATCAGGATTTTTTTCCCATTTGCTAAACCGGGCATCGGTGTGGCCATGCATGATGCATCTGGCCACAGGCCACAAGTTT